AAATGACGAAGTCGACTTCAGTACGCAGACGATACTATTTTGATAGGACAGGGATCTTTGTCCAATTTATGGGCGATGAAAGCAATAATTGTGGGGTTCGAAATGATTTATGGCTTGAAGATAAACATTAGTAAAAGTTCCTTATTTGGTATTGATGTGGATAATCTTTTCCTGCAGGGTGCAGAACATTTTCTTGGATGCAAAATTGGAGGTTTCCCTTTAAATTTCTCGACCTCTTAGTTGGTGGAAATCACCGTCGTATAGCTTTTTGGAATCAAGTGATTGACTGTTTAAATGCTCGGTTGTCCTCGTGGAAGGGTTGACTGCTATCAATCTGTGTTAGGGTATCACTCATTAATCCAATATTAACCAATTAACCAATACACTATCTTTCTCTTAACAGAATACCGAAGAAAGTTGCACAAACTTTGGTGTCGCTGCAGAGAAATTTTCTATGGGCAGGCTCAAAACTGTTGGTGCAAAGATAGAATAAATGATGAAATAGGGAAATATTCTATTAAAGAGAATGACGGCTACAAAACATGATATTTGGTTACAATGATTGTCACCCTATTTATAAGCTAAAACTAGGGTTACTAGAATAAGATAAATACTAAAATACCCTCTAACAAACTTATGGGCTTAAGAAAGTAATATAATAAAATATGAATTATTACTAATATCATCCCTTAATTCATATTCCATCAAAACTTGTAACACCAACTCCATCCCTTAATCTGAGAAATTGATCAGTCTTGATAGCTTTCGTCAGAACATCTGCCAACTGCTTCTGAGTGCTGCAGTGTACAACTTCTAACACTCCGCTCTGAATTTGATGTCTCAGAAAATGATACTTGGTCTCAATATGCTTGCTTCTCCCATGCAGCATTGGGTTTCTGGCAAGATTGATTGCAGACTTGTTGTCAATCATCAACTTCAGAGGTTTGTCTACTTTAATCTTCAGATCCTGCAACAGATTCACAATCCACACAGCTTGGCATGCAGTAACAGCACCTGCAATGTATTCAGCTTCACAGGTTGACAACGCCACAACAGGTTGCTTCTTGGAACACCAAGAAATGGAACCTCCCAGAAATTTGAACAAGTACCCAGATGTACTTCTTCTGTCAACTCTGTCTCCACACCAATCAGAGTCTGAATAACTCAGAAGTTCTGACTCATTATTTCTTCCAGAGGGAAATAACACTCCATACTTCAGAGTTCCTTTGATATACCTCAGAATCCTGACAGCAGCTTGGTAATGGGACCACTTAGGTTTACTCATGAACCTACTAACCATCCCAACTGAGTAGCAGATATCAGGTCTGGTATTGCACAGATACCTCAGAGAACCAACCAACTGTTTGAAGGTTGTAGCGTCCACATCCTTTCCTTCAGAGTCTGAATCCAGTTTCTGATTTGTATCAGAAGGTGTGACAGCCATCTTACAATTCTTCAGATCAAATCTCTTCAGAAGTTCTAATTCATACTTGAGCTGATGCAAAATGATACCTTTCTCAGAATATCTGAACTCCATCCCTAGAAAGTATGTCATTTTGCCTAGATCAGTCATTTCAAATTCATTCATCAGAACTTTCTTGAACTTGGCTATCTCCTGTTCAGAACTTCCAGTCAGCAGTATATCATCAACATATAAACATACCAGAGTCATATTGCCTTCAGAAGTATGCTGAACATAGACACCGTACTCCATCTCACATTTCTGAAAGCCTTGCTTCTTGAAAAATGAATCAATCTTCTGATTCCAAGCTCTGGGCGCTTGTTTCAATCCATATAGAGCTTTGTATAATCTGTACACCATCCCTTCCTGATTCTTTTTCACAAATCCAGGAGGTTGTGACACGTAAACTTCTTCTTCTAATGGACCGTTCAGAAATGCAGATTTTACATCTAAATGCATCAGAGGCCAATTCCTGTTAGCAGCTATTGCAATTACCATTCTGATTATTTCATGTCTTGCTACAGGTGCAAACACTTCAGAGTAATCCAACCCAGGTTTTTGTAGAAATCCTCTGGCTACCAACCTTGCTTTATGTTTGCCAATTGAACCATCTGGCTTTAACTTCTGCTTGAAAACCCATCTGACGCTGATGGCTTTCTTGTCTTTTGGAAGTTCTGTCAGCTTCCAAGTCTTGTTTCTCTCTATAGCATTAAGTTCTTCTTTCATGGCCTTTAGCCAGAGCTTCTGCTTAAGAGCCTCCTCTGTACTTATAGGTTCAGAGTCTACTAACATGGCACACTGAATAACTTCTCCTTCAGAGTCTACTTCAGTGTCTTGCAGCATGTCAAATTCTGCAAATCTTCTAGGAACGCTTCTGATTCTTTGTGGTCTCTGAACTTGTTCAGAGTCTTGATGCTTTGGGTGAGTATGTGGTGTGTCTCTCACAAAGGTTGCTCAAGAAAAAAGTCCCACTATGTTCAATGCTCCCTAGTTGAAAGTCCAACAAAAACTAAGAGAGGAATTGCATGGGTAAATTGGAAAGTTGTATGCAGGTCTAAGCAAGATGGTGGGCTGGGAATAAAAGACATCATCCTGCTTAATAGAATGTTGTTAGCAAAATGGATTCGGAGGTTCTTATACGAGACAAATGCGTTGTGGTCCTATTTCAAGTTAAATACGGAAATTTAAAGGAATGCATCATAAACAAAGATTATGTGTGCTCTAAGTCTTCAACTTTCTTATGGTGGCAAGATTTGTTCTCCGTCCGTGGTCAGGAAGTGATTGCGGATGTTTCGAATTTTTTCTCATACAGGTTGGCCAGTGGAGTGAAGACTATGTTTTGGCTGGACAAATGGATTGGAAATAGGCCTCTATTCCAGATTTTTCCTGGTTTATGGAACATAACTGCCACAAAACTAGCAAGGGTAGCAGAAATGGGAACATGGCGTGATGAGAATTGGCCGTGGCAGGTGGATTTTGATATTGGTCCCGATGAGGTTGAGCTGCAGTAGGAAAGCCATCAATTGTCTGAAATCCTATTGGAGGCAAAACTGGTTCAGAATAAAGCTGACAACATCATTTGGCCTTACCGCGTTTCGGGAGCATTTACGGTTAAGTCTTATTACAACTTGTTATTAAGCACATCTGCAGGTGACGAGATGGACGTGAACATGAAAGCCTTCCTGAAAATCATATGGTACCAGTTAAGGTGAAAGTCTTTGGTTGGAAGTTAAGTGTTAGATCGGCTGCCTACGCGATATAACCTACTCAAACGCGGAGTCGTGCTTAACTCTCATGAACAAGTGTGTATATATTGCTTCAGTTGAAAGTTCTAATCACCTTTTCTTCAATTGTTTTAAAACAAAAATAATTTGGGATGCGGTGTGTCGGTGGGTGGGGATATCTCTGTTTGGTGGTAACTCATGTTGCTAACATTATATGGCTTGGAGAGAGAGGTTTAAGGGGAAGGAGATAGTACTTTTTGTGGAAAATTTGTGGGTTATTGTGTGTTTGGAGCATTTGGTGTGTAAACAAATCCAATTTAATGACGAAGTTGAGAATCCAGAGGATTGTATGATTTGTGGGTTATTGTGTATTTCAGAGGATTGTATTATTATCTTGGTGGTGGATACCAAAGAGCGTTCATTTTAATAAATCTTATACGAATTATGACTGATTTATAAATCTATCAATTTGTTTTTAAGACCAATGTGTTTTGTTGTAATATAAATGAAAGGTGTACCGTAATTTAGTTGGGATACCCCAAATATCTCAATTAAAATAAATTTTGCTTATAAGAAAACCGCATTTGCCACATAATTAAGAAAAAAAAATAGAAAATACATTATATTTTAACTTAATTGTAATTTTAATCTTTCTATCTTTTTTTAATTCTCCCATATTAAAAACTATATTTTAATATTTTTTAAAATCTTTAAAAGATCTAAAATCCAACACAAAACTTAATAAAAAAACAAAATCATAGTTTTAAAAATAGATGATCAAATTTATAAAATAAAAAAAAAACACAAAAGATCAAAATTAGTCAAACATTTTCTTTACACCAAACTTTGTGTCACATGTATAGCATATGAGAAAGACAACCGTAATATATTAATTCATAATTATCTTCAGCAAATCAAATGTTTTACGTCAGCAATGTTATAAACATAAATTATTGTCAACCTTTCAAGCTATCTATATTATTAATTCAACCAATCAACTAATATATATTATTAATTGTTATGTTAGTTTTTATCTAAGACTTTTTTTCTAATGAAACTAATATCATATTATTTTATCATATTTAATTATTTATTTAATAATTTAAATTTAAAAAATTTTCAATACACATTACTTTATGAATAACTCATGTTACCCTATTCTTATCACATTCCAATTAATTATATTATCAATTTAGGTAACAAACAAAAATTCTGACACAGAGGTATTACAAAATACAAGTAGTTACTAAGAGTATCTTTAGTGGGAGTAAACTAAATGGGTAAACTAAGATACTTTTTGTGGGACCAAAGTGATTTGTAGGATTTAAAAAATTTATAGTTGATTTAAGTAGTTTTTACTTTAATGGTGGTTGTCTATAAGAAACCAAAACTTGACCCCACATGGTATTAAATGGTTAATAAAAATCTATTATTTATGTTAAATAATTAATAAAAATTTATTATTTATGTTAAATAATGAGTTAGAGTACGTTGCTTGTGTAGAGCACGTAAACTAGTTTTAGAGCATCCCATATGCCATGTCAGCACTACTATAATGCAAATTTCTTATTACTAACGTAAGGTATAAAGAATTTTGGTTTAACAACCCTGCATTAAAGTTGCTCTAAAAATCATATGACTTTTTATTTGAAAGTTCCAGTTACAAAAAGTTATCAAAGATTCACATGTGAATACAAAGATTCACATGTGATACTCAGATAATATCCTTAGAGATATATCACTTATTTGAACAAATAGTGTACTTTCTGGATTCAGTAAAAATACAAATGATAGTATAATTACTATAAGTACAATTACTTGAAAACCTTGTTGATGACTGGACGTGTTTTACACCTGGCCTTCAATGGCACTAACTTTGCCAAAGCGAATCCATTTTTTTCCGACATATCAATCTTGTCACCATCACCAGTAAGTTTCCAATCAAAGCATTGAACCAATAATGCCAAAGTCATACTAATTGCTCTAAGAGCCAAGGCTTCTCCAGGACAAGCTCTTCTTCCCATTCCAAATGCAATCAGCTTCTCCAACTCTCCTTCTTTCTCAAACCTCTCTGGCTTGAAACTCGTTGCTTCACTCCATGTTTCAGGGTCTCTCTGAATGGCCCAAGCATTGATCAATACTATGGTGTCTCGTGGAACTTTGTAGCCTCCGATAATACAATTCTCTGAAGAAGAGTGTGGTAATGATAATGGAGCGGGAGTGTACAGCCGTAGTGTCTCGTAGATAACGTTTTTGAGGTAAGTGAGTTTTGGAAGATCCGATTCATCTACCAAACGATCTTGACCTACATGAGTATCCAATTCTTCTCTTACCTTCTTTAATACCTCGGGATGGTTCAAAATATTAGACATTGACCACTCTAAAGTTAGAGCAGATGTGTCCGTTCCAGCCAGGAGCATGGCCTGTAAATTCAACAACTCAATTCGATCAATTTATTTTCAAGTAAAACATATTAATAATAGTACTAGAAAGATAGTCACAGATACTCTATAGTACTAACACCTCTGGAAATAAAAGTGACACCAAGATGACTACCTGTGTCAGGGTCGTTAAGGTATGATACATTGATACATGTAATTATGTTCTTACCAAAACGAGACCTTTGATGATTTGATCTGTGTAGTATTCTGGTTGTGATTCTTGCATATTTAGAAGATGATCTATCATAGTATTTGTACGTATCTTCTTGTTGCGTTGTTCTTCAAGGAGTCTTCTCAAGAAGTTATCACATCTTTCACCAATATGTTTGAGTTTCTTCTCCAAGTTTTCAAAATCAAGAAACTTAAGCAAAGGCAAGAAATCAGTCTTATTATTTGCTCCTGCTAACTGCAAAAGTTGAGATACCATATCTCTAAATTCACTTGCTTCCTGAAGATCAGACATCTCACAATCTTCTCCGTAGTACCTCTTTCCACTTATCATTCTCATGATATTATTGAAAGTCATATCAAAGAATCTGAAAGTCAGTTCAACTTCCGCAAAATCAGATGACGAATCCTCAGCCAACTTGGCTATCATTCTCTTCGTCTCGTCTCGTCTGATTCCAGCAAAGCTATTGATGCGGTTATTCGAAAGGACGTCGAGGGAAGTTATACGGCGGAGGTTGCGCCAGTGTTCACCGTATGAGGTGGATCCTAAGGTGGTGTAATTGTAGAAGATGTGTTTTCCTGATAAAAAACGCGGTCTATTTGCTAAAACGACGTCGTTTTTTGTGAAACATTGTTGGAATTCGGAGAGAGAGGAAACAACTACGACAAGACGTGATCCAAACCAAAGGGAAATGACTTTGCCGTATTTGTTGGAGAGTGAATTGAAGGTACGGTGGAGAGGGCGTTTGAGATGGTGGAGGTTGCCGATTATGGGAAGTGAAGTTGGACCTGGTGGTAGGTTTTTGAATTTTCTTGATTGGAAGAAAAGCTTGAAGATGAAAAATATAGAAAGATAAAAGAGAGAGTAGAAGAAAATGGAAAACATCTTCATATTTGAGATTGTTGGTGAATGGGTGAATAAGTAAGTGATACTATTTATACAGGGAGAAGGGTGGTAGGCGGGAGGGAAATAGATTTCGGGGCTGCTGCCAAGTTGGACTGAAAGCAGTGCCGTCAGGCACGTGCCAGAAAATCAAATCTACGAATTCAGCGTTCTAGATTCTACTATATAACAAGCCAATTTTTTTTAAAATAAGGCTAAATATATTTCTAAAAAAAATTATACACAAAAAGAGATAGGATTATATCAAAATCCACATGTTGGAATAACCTATCATAATATTTGTGAAATTAAGTTGAAAAAATTTGAAAGGAGATAGATAGATAGATAAATAGATATAGAAAAAGAGATAGATATAAAGAGAGAGAGAGAGTTGATGGCGAGAATGCAATTTTTCATTAGTTAAGGTGAAAGTCCCCTTTACACATTTATATAGAGATTACGCAATGATTGTAATACACTTTAATCAAGTAGACTAGCAGAAAAAACAAAAACTCGAACCTGTAATCGGTTACGCCAAAGTGGGTAATCAGTTACACCTGACATGAATTAATTTTCCAATCAATTCTGTTACAGTGGTAATTGGTTACACCAAATCTGGTAACTGGATACGCCTTCGAAGAATTTATTTTCTGCTACTAGAAAGCATTTCAACACTTGGAATTATCACTTCAAACTTCAACACACCATCTTAATTCAAGTGTTGCATGTCTACCATCCCCATGCTCATCTTCAACCTCTTGAAAACATCATTTGTGACTCTTTTTGTCAACAAATCAGCAACTTGGTCCTCACTTCTGCAATATCTCAATCATAACCTCCTTTCACTAACAAGTTCCCTCAAATAGTGAAACTTCATCTCTATGTGTTTGCTCCTCCCATGTGCAATTGGGTTTTTATCAAGATTAATCGCAGAAACATTGTCAACTAAGAGTGTGACAGCCTTGCCCTCACTGCTTCCCAGCTTTTTCAATAGATTCATAAGCCACACGGCTTGACACGCACATAACGTAGCGAAGTTATTCTCGGCCTCACAAGATGAGAGTGTAACTACTGGTTCCTTCTTCGAACACCATAAGATTGGTGTCATGCCGAATATAAAGATGTATCCAGCTGTAGAGTTTCGATCATCTTTATCTTCGCACCAATTGGAATCGGTAAGCGGTAGGTCCGGTCGCATATTGCACAAGTAACACAATGATCCAATAAACCTTCTATATTAAGTTGGATCAACATCTTCCTCATCCTCATTCTTGGATAGCTGCAGTCTTGGTTTAGTTTGAGAAATAGAAGCATTACAATGCTTTATTTCATACTTTTTCAATATTATTGCTTGTGATCAATAAACCATCCACATACAAACAAATGATGATTACTCCTTCATTCGCACCCGTCTTCACATAGACTTCATGCTCTGATACACATTTCTTGAAGCCAGTGTCTTTTAGGGAACCATCAATTCTTCTATTCCAAGCTCTTGGAGCTTGCTTCAAACTATATAGCGCTTTCTTCAACTTGTAGAACTTCAGCTTTGGGTCTTTCACAGCAAAACCAGGGGGTTGTACTACATACACCTCCTCTTCAAGTAGTCTATTCAAAAATGCGGATTTGACATCCATTTGGTAGATAAGTCAATTGTGGTTATTTTTAATACCAACAACAATCCTAATGGTTTCGATCCTAGCAACTGGTGCGAAAACCTCTTCAAAGTCTATGCCTCCTCTTTGCAAAAATATCTTAGCCACCAATCGAGCCTCATGCTTAATTATCTCACCCTTGGGACTTGCCTTCACTTTGAACACTCAGCTCACACTAATTTCCTTCTTCCCTTTTGGTAGATAAATTAGCTCCGAAGTACTATTTTCTCAATGGATTCCAGCTACTCTTTCATAGCATAAATCCACTTTTGATCACTTAAGGTCTCTTCCATATTAACGAGTTCGAATTCGGGCATAAGTGCAAAGTGGACGAAATCACCATCATCATTGACCTCATTGTCACGAAACAACTCACAATCTTGGAGTCTCTGAGGCAAACTCCTTTGCCTTGTTGATCTCCTGATATTTCCTTCACTTTAGGCTTCGACAACTTGTTGTTCTGGTAACCGATTACAACTTGCATGTAACCAGTTATAGGATTCTGGTAATTGGTTATGCCCTGCTGCAGTTGCTTCATTTCGTCAACAACATCCTGACTGATTAAGATCCTCCTGTTTACATCATCAAATAGTTTGTAACCACCAGTAAAGTAATGTCCAACAAGAATCATCGCTTCACCCTTGTCATCCAACTTCTTTCTAAGTTGACCCGGAACATGTCAGTATGGAATGGAACCAAAGACTCTCAAATAGTTCAGATTTAGCTTGAACCCTGACCATGCTTCCTCAAGTGTTACATTTCCAGCTTCTTTGTAGGGCACCTATTCAACATATAGGTAGTTGTAGATGTCGCTTCTCCCCATAGCTCTTTTGGCAAGTTCTTCCCCTTTAACATGATTCTCACCATGTTCATTATTGATCGATTCTTCCTTTCGGCTGCACCACTCTGTTATGGTGCATAGGGTGGTACTACCTCATGTATAATCCCTTCTTGATCACAAAACCTCCCAAAGTCATTTGATACATATTTGCATCCACCATAAGTTTTGAGCACTTTGAGCTCATGACCACTTTGCCTCTCCACCATGGACTTGAACTTCTTAAACACATCAAATACCTCATAGTTTCTCTTTATAAGTTATGTCCATAGCTTTATACTATGATCATCGATAAAAGTGACAAAATATCTATTGCCACCAACGGAATCTACTTGCATAGGCCTACACACATCCAAATACACCACCTTAAGGTGATTCTTGGTTCTACAATCTGCATCATTGCTGAATTTTCCTCTATGTTGTTTTGCTTTCTCACATTCTTCATAAATTTCAACAGAAATATTGATCGTTGGCAGCCCTAATACCATTCTGTTCTTTTGTAAGTCCCCGAGATCTCTAAAATTGAGATGCCTAAGATGATAGTGCCACACCCACTCTTCATGACTTATTGTAGTAATAAAACATCTATACTCCATAACCTTCAACTCAACCTTGAAGGTTCTATTGGAAGTCATAAGCACTTTAAGGACTAAAGCTCATTTGCATCCATAACACGCAAGCCCTTGTTTTCCATATGAATCTTGTAATCCTTCTTAAGTAATTGGTTGATACTTAAAATATTACATTTGATTTCTGAAATATATAAGAAATATTTGATAAAGGAATGTCCATCATCCCTCCTCATGATCAAAACATCACTAACCCCATCGGCCATTAGAGTGGTGTCCTCCGCAAACTTTACTTTATTCTTCATGGCACGATTGATTTCGACAAACCAAACCTTTATTCCCTTCATATGAGTTGAACAATCCGAGTCCAAATACCATTCCTTACTGCATTAAACTCCTTTCACACTCATCATGGTTTCTTTCTTTTTCACGCAACCGGTTAATCATATCATTCAATCGGTCACAACCCAATTTTTCTGCATTCTTTGAGTTGCTGCAGCTGCTATTTATTGCTACAATTCGCTTCTATGATCATGACCAAAAGTGTATTATCTTAATCAAACTCTTGTATTGCAACCTTGGCTTCATCCACTTGAGATTCCTTCATGTTTGCATTGCATTCTTTCACAAAATGACTGTACCGTTGACACTTGTAGCACTGCTCCTTACTCTTGTCAAATCTCTTTCTTTCACCTCTATAGTTTCCTTGACCACCATGTTTGTTGTATCTGCTTTCACCCCTTTGAGAAGTCGAATTACTTGAATTTTGGGACTCTTTTCCACCAAAATTTTGAAAATTATCTTTGTTTTTCATGGGTCATTTTCCTTTCGATCTCTTGTCCTTCTCATTCAGCCGAGCTTGCAAAGCGATCTCCACCTTTGCCTTATCGTTGTTCCTCTCCTCCATCCTTTGCTCATGATCCTCAAGATAACTTTGTAGCTCCTCTTTGCTCATCATCACAAGATCCTTCAACTCCTCAATCTCCACAATCATGTTGTCAAATCTTGGTGTTAAAGAACACAAGATCTTAACAACAACATACTGCTCTGTAATGGTTTATCTACATGCCTTCACTTGGCTCACCAACCGAGTGATTCTTGTTGTGAAGTCATTGATTGTCTCTTTCTCTTCCATTTGAATCAATTCAAGATGTCGTTTGTGAGTTTGTAACCTCACCACATTCACCTTGTCAGTCACTGCATAAGCTTTCTCTAAGATCTCTCATGCTTGCTTTGACGAATCGTAATCACGAACTTTCTCGAAATTGTCGCCATCAACACATTGATGAATCAAGAATACACTTTGAAATCTTTCTTCTTTTCTTCCTTATGTGATGCTTGTTGCGCCTCTGTTGCATTAGCTTGAGAAGAGTAACACCATTTTTGATCACCTCAAGAACATCTTGGTAGGCAAAGAACACCTTCATTTGTTTGCACCATTTGTTGTATTTTTTCGCATCAAGGATGTGTAGATTTGCAGGGATTCTTTCATTAGAGACATAATTCATGTTGCACACAAGGTGTTTGTGGATCTGAACCAGACTCTTGATGTCAAATGTTGGAACAAACAACTATAAGATTGGTGAAACTAAGTTGAGAAAATTTAAAAAGGAGAGTGAAAGAGGAGAATTGAGAGAGAGAGAGAGAGAGAGAGAGAGAGAGAGAGAGAGAATTGAGGGTGAGAATGTAATTTTTCATTAGCTAGGGCCAGAGTACACCCAACACACTTATATAGAGATTATACAATGATTAGAATACACTTTGACCAAGTACAGTAGCAGAAAAAATAAAAACTCAAGTCTGTAACTGCTTACGCCAAAATGGGTAACCAGTTATACTTGACATGAATTAATTTCCAAATCAATTTTGTTATAGTGTAATTGGTTACGTTTTCGAAAACTTCATTTCTCTACTACTGGAAAACATATCAACACTTGGAATTACCAC